CCAACCTAAACGCCCAAAAAAAGGAAGCTGTTTTTTTAGAAAGGACAACATGTTCAATAGAACACCAAGCAGCCATTTAAAGTTATGATCTATAAAATTATTCATAAATATTGAAATTCTTCAAGGTAAAATTTTTCATGTGAAGTATTGGTTATAAAAGGTATTTTGATACTATAGGATACTGTTTGTAAACAAAATGTTTATATATATATATGTTTATATAAACATAGGAAAAAGATTAAAAATACATACCCTGAGAAGTACTGCTTCTTGGAGTAACCTTTGTTCTTATTTTAATGCTTTACTAATTTTCTATAAAAATACATTATTTTAATGCCTTACTAATTTTCTATAAAAATACATATTTTATAATAAAAATAACATATGTTCAAAAAAGGAGGAGAAAATTTAATTCAGTTTCCAGCAAAAAGGCATATTAAGAACTAGATGAAGAAACTTGCCCCAGAATAAGAGAAGCACACTACTGCGCTACAAGGGTTATGACTGGCTGTTCAAGGAAATGAAAATGAAGCAGGGAGAAGCCCAATGCTTCTGGGGCTTCAGAGAAAGCAGAGGAGGTTAATCCAGGCTGTTATGAACCCTAGCAAGTAGTGAGTCCTATTAATATGGTACTTGAAAGTTGAAGGATTTACTCAGATCTCAGATAGAGCTGATAGAAAAAGGCCACTACTCTAAACCGAACACTCAACTCTTGGCAGGACAAAATCAACTGGGGAGCTCTATAAAAATGCTCATTCCCTTAGCCTACCTCAGGCCAATTAAATCAGATTGTCTGGAGTGGAAACCAAGCAGTGTATTTTTTTTAAAGATCTACAGGTGAATCTAACATGTGACTGGGATCGAGGACAGCAACTAATCTAATTCTAAACAATCATCTATTTAAATAGAGAGTACAAGTACTTTCATTCTTGACATCTTCTTGCTTGAGAATTATCTACTGAGAATTGTTAAATATATATGTTTTAGTGTGAATTCCTTCATGAAAAGAAATATTTACTAGGAGCAGCAAACTCCCATTCAAAGCAATCATCAAACACTTACAGTCATATGAGGACTAAGTGAAATGCAGGTGCCATTCAGAGGTGATTACAAGAAGGAAATAAATAAAACTCAGAGGGACTTTCTTCCAGTCCTCACTCATAAATAAAACTCAGAGGGACTTTCTTCCAGTCCTCACTCAGATTTGTACCCTCTCTCCTCTCAAAGCTCCCACCAATCTATTGACTTGTGTCCTTGTGTGTCACTCTCTCCCTCTTGGCCCTTGCTCATGGATGGAATATACCTTCTCTATCTTTTTACCATCAGCATCTGGCATGTAGTAGAAGCTTAATAAACGTTTGTTGATTGGATAAAAAGATGAAGTGCTAGGCATTATTATTTTTTCTCTTACACTCCTTTCAGTTCTATGCCTCTATAATACTATGGTAACGCTTCCTGATGTTCCAAATGTCCTCATTTTCCCTCTACACTTTCATATTGTTGTTTGGTAACAACCAACATTCATTATAAAAGGTTGTTAGCAATTCTGGAATAACTTACAATATTGTCATCACATAGATAATGAGTTTTAAAGGTTACCAATAACATTTAGCAGTGCACATAGTAAGCTATGTTGTTTTTTATTTGCTTCAAAAGCCCTTTGACTTAATGAGTATCAAGTTATTTATGCAGGTTGAACTAGACTGGCGGTAAGAATAATTGTAGTAAACAAATTTAACATGTTCAGGTAGGTGTCCTATAGACCTATCGTCCAGACTTCCTCAACTAAAGATAAAAATTCTGGAGCTACATGCCTTAGTTACAGACAAATCCAATGTGTTCTGAGATGTGCCAACTGGAGAGTGAATTGGTTTACACTAGGGGCCACCTGTCAGAAACTTCAAGGGTGAGGAAGGACATGTTGTCCCAGAAAACATGTATAATCTTTATTTATATACACTATGCAGTGCTGATTTAAGATGCTGGGTATTAGAAAGATCAAGCACTGTGTTTTTTTTAACCCATAGTAATTGTAATTAATAATTGCAAAGAAGAAAATGTGAAATAGATTTTAAAAGATTTTGCATGGCCTGCCTGCCCAAACAGGGTATTTTGGCACACAAATTAAAATATTTGTCATAGAATATTTTATGCTTGTGCTATTGCAAATAATTGAGATTTTATTTGTTGAAGAGCTGTTATGAGAGTAAAAATATGAATATGAGTGTATTTCACATACTGATTCTTTTCCCTTTTTCACTTTGGGGATCTTGATGCAAACAGGTTAAACAGAGTTAAGATCTTAAAACTTAAAATCAAAAAACAATATTATATAATCTTTGTTTTGGCTTCTCCACCAAGCAACTTGAATTATATTGTTAATGCCATTGTGATATTGAATAACAGTAAAAGCTTTATTACAGTTTGTATATCAGTTGAGTGTAATGACCCAATGTAGTCATATTTCAGAAGACGTTATCATTTGCATTAGTCTGTGAATCTGCCTTTCTCCAGTAATAGCAAGTTTCAAATATTCTTCATTAAAATCATTAATTTTTATTTAGTGAGTGAGTCACTATTATTTGTTGAAAGGTAATGAGGACCACTCGCACTGTGGAACTGTCATATGTATTATTCTGTATTCAGAAAACTGCATGCTGCATACTATAATGCTGGAGATTTTACTGCAAACATGTCAAAAGTTACTACAAAGATTTTTAAATGCTCCCTATATACACAGTTGAATACAAGTGTTTGAGTGAATATTTACTCCTGGAAATTAAGGGTAAAAAAGTTCACCAAGTAATTTCAGAAAGATTAGCATACTTCAAGCTTGAGATGCCAAATCAAGCAAACTTGAGACCAAATGAACAGAAAGCAATGGACTGTTGATACTTATACAATAGTTCAAACATGTATCCTCCTTATATCTGAATATTACCTTTTGTACCTTCCCAATGCTGAAGTTCAGAAACCTTTTGTTATAATAAAAATGTAACAAATCAGAAATGAAAAAAGAAGGCTTAAGGTCTGAAGTTATTTACTTCTAGCTATGCGTGGAAAAAATAAACCAAATATATACATATATTTGGGACCTTACCTACATATTTATTGGGACCTTATGTGGGTTTTTGAGACCTTCCTTAGACCAAGACTCTAAGAACCCAAACCTGTGTGAAGAAAATTTAGTAATATTCTTATTTAGCTACAGTGTATTGCATTTTCTTTTAACCATTAACTTGAGAACAAATTGGAAAGTGTATGGTTTCCGTTGTCGCATACTATAAGTTGTTTTTTCCAATGTTTTATTATGAAACATTTCAAAAATACAGGAAAGGTAAAACAATTTTACCATGAATACCCTAAATAGGAGTGATTTTAAAAGATGTGAGCTGGTCCATCTATATCTTTTATGAAATAAATATCATTGATATAAAAAACTACATGTTCACACACATATTTAATTATACATGGAAACTGGGCACAGAGCTGACCAGAATGACAAGGAGTTTAAACTAAGAGAGGATGGAGAGCAATTTATTAGCAACATATAGTTTAACTATAAGTAGCTCTATATTATCGGTGGTAGAATGATTCAAATAAAATTTAAGATACCATTCAACTGAAACCAACCATCACTGAGGTATTGGAGAAAAGGAAACAACAACACTTTTAGATCTCATCAAATTGTGGTAAAATGTGTATAGGACACTGCCAATTGATTTAGCTGCAAGTTACTATTTTAATGCATTGTTTGCAAAGTGTGGGAGGTATACTACTAGCGGTATTGGTTTAGATGCTAAATAACATGAAGTTATAATGTTATAATTATCTTTCAACCCTTCTGATTTCTCAAGGAGAAAGCATTCATTTAATACCAGTATATATTGAAGGCCTCTCCACCCATCTGAATGTCTATTTTTATGATTTATTCTTCAATAGGAATAGTATCTAACTAGAATTAATAAGATTGATTTTATTTTTTAATTACCTTTCACTTACGGTTGTTAAACATGGTTTTAATTCATAGTTGTGATATCAAATTTCCCTTATGTAAATTTATTGAAGTGAAAAGTGAGTTTATTTGAAGAAAAATTAGGAAAATAATGATATAGGTATAATAGACTCCTATAGGCAGAAATTATAAAGGTAGCCATCAGATGTCTGAAGTAAGAGAAATATTATTTCAATGGCTGCTAGTAGACAATATTTTGAAAGAGCCACCCACGACATATTCTAAATGATAAAAGTCCTCCAAATATGTAGTTACAACCCTTCTCTACTAACTTAAGAACTGATTTCTGGGCTTCTCTTGCCTAAAACTTGAATATGCTCCCACAGATTTTGTTCATAAATAAAAAACTCTAAAAGTGACCAAGAGTCTCATTTCCTTGAGAACCTTCAAACTATTGAAAAGATTATATTTATTTACCAAGAATGGTGGAGCAAAGCATTTTAATTCCTTCCCTAATTCAATGCAAATATGTAATTTGAAAATCTTTTTTATAATAAATTACCATCACAAACAAATAAAGTGATTTCTAAGCCATAAAACAGCAGGTGGATAAAAATAGGTTGTGATTGCTTAGACTATAAAGTTAGTGATGTATCATGGAAAGTCTTAAATTATTGGCACGAGGCTCCCTGCAAACCATGAGAGTAAATTTCATCATCTGTCATGAGCCACGATAGTCTTTATAGCAAATGTGGAGTCTAGGAGAGGTTACTGGAGTCACCATATTCTACGATATGAACCATTTGGAGACAGATTTCCTCAGTGAACGAGTTCAACAAAAGATTAAATTCAATCATAGGAGTTTTGAATGTTCATTTTATTTCAGCATTTTAATACAGTTTAAATAAGTCATATTTCCTCCCTATCTCCCCCTTACCTTCCACTTTCATAATCTTGAGGTTGGGGGGACAGGGTGCTTAGCAGGAGTCAAAAATGAATCTAATCCCATTTGATGGAATAACACCATTGCTAAACAGATAGACATACACACATCACATGAGAGAAAAAATTATTTTCCAAAATTTTTGTTTTTGTAATTCAATTATTACAATATTCTGTTATTTTCTCTGACTAAGCTCTGATTTAAAAAACTAGATTTCCATGTGAGATTTCAAATCATTTCAAATGGAGTTTCCTTTTATACATTTTATTGTAGGTTTTGAATCTTTACAAATATCACAGTAGTTGTGCTAGAATAACTGAAGCTCATTTTCTTCTTCTGGGCCTCTTCTTGTGGAGGGAATATTTGAAGTTAATCACAAGTAACCCATAGTAGAGACAGAAACTAGGATCACGCTCTCTTTTTTATACATTTCACTACAGCCAGCAGCCCCTAGGATCAAAATAAAGTCCGATTTTCTAACTCATATATGGAAACATTTATTTTTTAATGCTTCTAATTATTTTTAGTGTTTTATGTTTAATTTAAAGTTAATTTTCAATCTACTTCCTCATCCAGGATCCTATTAACCATATTAAACCCTAGCGCCATGACATGGATGCTAGTGGACCATGGCTAATGAACCAGAGTTTAAGCAGCCCTATAATTGCTTGACTCAACATAGACTGAAACTCTGTAACAGAAAGGAACATGAGACCATAATAGAGAGATATAAATAACTGAGAAAAATCTGGAGCCAAGAGATAAAGAATTATTGTATGTCCACTGTAATTTTGGTTCTAGTTGTGACGGGACATGTAGAACTCAATTATGATGGTAGCCTTGTAGAGCAGATGTTATTTTTAGATGGACAAAGAAGAGCTTCAAACAAAATGTTTTAGGCTTCTAGGGAATTGTTTAAATTAATATTATTCATTATAATCCATATGAAAATTATCTACACAAAGCAGGGCATGAGATCTGTGAGAATCAGTAGACTGTTTCTCCAGTTGGAGGTGTTGGATTAGGGACTCCTAGTCTATCCAGTTCAATTTGATGAATAGAGGAAGGAAGCCTAACTTAATATTAAATAGAATAAATCTTTTCCTCAAACTCCATGTCCATGTGATGTGTTTTTTTAAATAATGGAGTAGCCCACTTGGAAATAAGTGAGATTCATTATGTTCTGAGTTTTGTTCATGCCAGTACTCAAACAGTAAGGTAAAAGCAGGAAGAAAGACAATCCATTATCTTGTTGTTTCCAAATACAGAATTATCCAGATATCAGAGAAGAACTTCCTCTGTTTTCTATGACCCAACCTACCAAATATTTTGCAAAGTTTATCCCAGCATTCAGGACCTGGATTCAATTTTATCTTACTCCCTTGGGAATCTTACACCAGTGACTATTCCTCTTTTCACTTACCTATATTTTCACACTCCTGTTTGCTATATCTTTTTCCAACAGCATTTAAGCAAATTCTAGTGGTCTTCACATCTTAGTTTTTGAAAATAGTTTGTCCACAACCCCCTCTGATGCTTCTGCTGATACATCTTCTCCCTGACCTTTAAATGTGGATGTTCCTCAAGGAAGATTATTTACCTTCTTCTCTTCCTAATATTCTTCCATAGGTAATCTCCTTCATATCCATGGTGTCTTTACCCATTAATACCATATTTCTAAAGTTACTGTGGCTTTGTTTCCCCAGAAGCAGACCTGTGGACAAGAATTGAGTGTAAGTAGTTTATTTTGGAAGTGATCAGAGGAGACACCAGTGAGAAAGGGAAGGAAGCCGATCAAGGGTATGTTATCAACACAACTGCCACTGTGACTCAGTGGACTTCAATCAGAGGGAACTCTGGGACACAAAAGAGTTACTCAGGGACAAGTAGGTTTAGCAGTGCAACATCCCCAGACATCTTTTCAAGAATGTTGCTATAGCAAGTCTACTTTTCTGTATGAATATAAGTTATGTTGATATGTGCAGTTACTTAAGATGTTCTGTGGTCGTCGTCTTTTCTGTGGAGATGTAATGTACATATAATTGATTCAAATTGGTTTAAAAGGGTGTGTTTATCTCAGGGGAAGAGGAGAGACTAATACCTCTTAGACTTCAGTATATTATAATCATCACTATTGTTGTTAAATTAATAGATGCCACATAGATTATCAGATAGATCATCCTTTGACATTGCAGTGGGAACACACTGCTCCCCACTTTTGACAGGCTGCTTACCTGTTCTGCATATTTAAGAACATATCTCTGATTCCTGTTCTATCCTCTGATCTCCTGTTTCCTATGTAGGAAATCTTCCTTTTCATGTTAGTCCACATCCTTTTCTTCTGAATGATCTTCTCAGAGCACTTCATCATCTCACCTCCATCAGCTAAGTTTCTTGCCCCGTGACAACTAAGTGCATACATTTTCCCAACGTATGCAACCTGTGTTGTGAAATCATTATAAACACTAATGAAACTAATCAAATGGGGTAGGAGAGTATGACATATGCAGGAGATAATAATAGTGTGACTATAGGTATAAAGTATAAAGTGAGGGAAAATTGAATGATCCCTAACAAAGCCCTACACTAAAACAGGGATACAACTTTGTCTCCTGCCTATCTGCTCATTTTACCCTTTAAGGAATCACAGTCACACATTTTAGGAGGCAGGATAGTTTGTTGCTTATGTAAGTATCAAAATGCATGTTTGTCAAGCCCAGCTTTACCCATTTGCTAGGTTAATTTATTTCCCTAAGAAGTAGAAGTAATAACAGAATCTACATCACAGTGTTGTAATAGGCAAGTGCTCCTACTTGGCCCTTTCCAAGTTCCTGTTTGAACGTCACTAGATGTGTCTAACTCCAAAAAATACAGATAGCATGTGTCTTCCATCTACCCAACAGAAACTAACAAACATGGTGGTGGCCTTTGTGGAACTCTCCTTCCAAGGAGGAATTTAAGATTGTTTTTTGAGGGTTGGTTTGTTTTAATTAAATGCCATTGTACATTCACGGATGTATTTGGTCCAGTGATAACCCCTCTCTCCTGTTACACACGTCACCCTTTGGTCCTAACATTATGATCACAGATGCCTGGGGAATTGAAAAAGTCCAAAAATTAGAGATCACCTGGTTCTACTAAAGCCCAGGTGAAATACACGATACATTCCTCACATCATTTTTACTTCTCATGAGCCAGAGATCTAGATGTGAGATACACATTCTTGGGTTCTTAGTGTTCTTTCCTTTCCATTCACTTCTTGGGAGTATCTAAGAACATATTCCTTCCCTGCAAAGAGCTGAATTCCTGATAGAGGAGCCATAACATGGGTGAAACTCAAATAGAATCAGAATTTTCATATTAAAAATAAAAGGGAGACTTTTCCTTTCTCACTCTGATTTACTTAGGCGAGCAATTCTCTTACTGACTGACTGCTAGACTTCTTAAGTGTATACTTAAGGCTCTGAAGTCTTACTTTTAAAATTAAATATCAACTAGGAAAGCAGAAATCTGCTATCAGCTATTTGAAAATGTTGTTTAAGTAAAAATATCCAACTTTGTTTTAAATGAGCCAAGTAATGGTTCTTTTAATAAAGGAATAAGTATAATATTTGTAAGTAGATGTAGTACATACACAAATACACACACACATATACACATGCATGTGCATTGCTTAGCCATAGGTGGACATTCATCAGGCAATATATGCACCTCTAAACCCTAAGCACCTTCAGGGTGTAAATGTAGGAGTTGGGCTGTTGCAGGTACTCCCCATTGTGAGTTATGGCTTATAGAATAATTTGCTCAGCTGAGAAGCAGTCTAATGATTTGCAATCAGCAATGCTTTCTCCTGATTCAGCTGATGTCTTAGCTTCCTCACAGTATTCATTAAGTAATTTTTTGATATTTATGTTCCACTCCTATGCTTTATTTTCTAGCACTGTGGTTAACATGTAGGAAATAAATCCCTGACAGCTAAGTTTAATCACTACGAAGAAGAGATTCTGTTCATTACATACTTGTTTATGTTTTGTTACATGAAAACTTCCTGTAACTAAATACTGCATTATTATCTAGTTTGTTGTCGTGTTGTTGTTGTAGTTGTTGCAGACTGGGCAGTGTGAAAGGGCTAAAGGATCAAAAAGTGGCAGTGAAGGACAAAGGGGTGAGGCCAAGATCAAATTAGATTTGCTTTCAGAGCAGCCAGACAAGTAAATCAAAGAACTGAAAGAAATTAATCCACCTCGGAAAATTTTGAAATTCTCTGTTCGGGACAGAAAAAAAAAAAAGGCATCAATCGCTGGCAAGAAGAATGACTGATACAGAAATCAGACACAGGCTCTAGCCTGACTCTTATATGAAAGTAAAACACAAAGAAATAGCATTTACGGAAAAATCATATTTCCAAGTTATTTGAAAGTAGGTCAGATTCTACTTTCTCTCTCTGGATTTGGACATACTGTTACCCTTGCAATGCCTTTGCCTGCACCCTCTTGTGCATCTGGGAATGATAAGAATACCATTGTGCTTGGCACATAGGAAGGCCTTAATAAATGTAAGCTATTGTTATTCCTTGGTATATGCTAAACATTTTATTTCCTTGTTATATATTTACTGCGAGAATTAAAAGGGAGAGTTTTCACCTACACAATATGAACTGCAAAGGTATTTACCTGTGTTATTTAGAAGGTTCTCCCATTATTACACTGATTCATTTGTAAATTTGATTTTGGTCTGGGAGTATTCAAAAATCGAATATTTCACAAATATTTTAATCATGTTGGGGCCATTCTATTCTTTACCAATAAGTTTGGATATTAAATAACATCACAATATTTATTCAAATAACAATCTGCATTTTACTAAACACACTGATTCTAACATCAGATTAATTGTAGAATTATATTCTTAAAAAGTCATAATGAGTCTGATTGATTAAGTGAAAACTTAATATACAAGGTTCATGTACAATGTTTCTATCTTTCTGATCAGGAGACCCCAGGAATGACTTTTCTGTGGTTGCTGGTAGCTTGAGGATGAAAAATGAAAACAGTGAATCCCTCTGAAAAGAGTTAAGCCAACATCATCAGGCAGCACTAGAATTAGAAAATATGATGCTTTTGGAGGCCTCACATACTCCTATCTTGATACTATTATGGCAAGTAGGTGTGAGTGAAACTGGCCTATTTGGTCACAGGTCTAGAATATTCTGACATGATAAGAGTGCTTTATTTCTCTGGATACAATTCTAACTATCATCTTAACGATCCTAGGTCACAAAATGTCAACATAACCGAAGGAGTAGTCAAACAATGGGCCTGTATTATTAGAAAACTTCAGAAAGTGCTGATCAACTTGCCCCTTAAAAAGACTACCGGGAGCTCATTTGTCATTTAAGAGGGTTCTGAGTCAACTGGGTTTTCCATTCCGACCTTATGAAAACATTCAAAGGACCCCGAACTCCACTTCATCCCTTGACCATTTCAAAGTAACATCTTTGCTCTTGGTCCCTTGACCACTTCAAAGTAACATCTTTGCTCTTGGTCTCAGCATTGGAATTTTTCCCAAGCACCTTCCTGGATTGCTTTATCTCACCAGCAGGTGTACATACTAATAGCCACTACTGCTGCTTATCTCATCATTTTTCACCTTATCACTCTGATTTATTACTGTTTTGACTTTGATTTTGGAATCCATTGTTTATTGCTTTGCATACTAATGACACTTCCTACCTTGAAGGGGTGTGGCAGCTCCCCTTTTCCCATCTCATGTTATTTGTGCAAAGTTGATTTACATTAGCTAGTTTTATATACAATGACCTCTTTGTGTGTGTGTGTGTGTGTGTGTGTGTGTAGCATTCCTTCTGTTTTTAATTTTCTGCCAACAACTAAGAAAAATTTACTAAAAGAAAAAAATTCAAACAACAATAATAATAAAAACGGTAAGAGGAAACTTTGAGAGATGATGGACATGTTTATGGCCTTGATGTTGATGGTTTCACAGGTATATAATTATCCCAAACTCATCACAATGTATATGTTACATATGTGCAGCTTTTCATATGTCAATCATATCTCAATAAAGTGGTTTTTAAAAAAACTTTTAAGGAAAAGACTAAAGTTGATATGTACTGTCAGAATTTTCCCCTTCTCATTATATTCCCTAGGAAGTATGGTTGTCCTTTAATATTTATGTTATCACTAATATATTAGAATAAAACACAGTTGTTATTGAGGAGGTTTTTTTTTTTCAAAAGACACTTGCCACCAAATGTATGTCTCATTTCTTCCCAAAGAGAGATTTTACACCCAGAGCTAATCTCAATAATTCGTTTATTTTCAAAAAGAAAATTATTTAGCATATACAATGTTCCAGTAATGAGCTAAGTGTTTGGGATATATGAGTCAAAAAAATATAACTTATGCCCCCAAGGAGCTAACAGAGATGTGATCAAGTAAATGGACCTTATTCTATAAAGGGATAAATCTTACAACGCAGTAGTTGAGGTACAAGGCACAAACATAAGAAAGCACGCTCCTTGGTAAACCAGGGAGGACTTACAGAAGAGGTGATATGGACCTGACTCTTGAAAAAGGAATAAAAGTTGGCCAAATCATACCTAAGACTGAAGATAAAGACTATTACTAAGGAAGGAACAGGGTCAAAGGCAAAAAAGATATGAGAAAATGAGGCACATTTGGAGAACGTGTGGGT